AAAATTATGCGACGGAAAATGTGTGTTTTTTGAGGATGACATGGAAGATATCACTGATGACTACTCCGACGCTCCAGGTAAATACTATGTTGCATACCCGAGTTGGAAGAATGCATCCTACCAAATTCCATTGTTTCAGTTAGAACACATTTAATAGAATTCAAGAAGATTCCCGCACTGACCACTATGAAACAACGTGCACAAGGAACTTTCCATCGTACAAAAATGTACAACGCTACCAGTGAAGATACTAACTCCTTGTTCACAATGCTGAGACATCACGGGATGAAAATTGAGGAGGCAGGTAAACCTTGCGTTTCACAAGCCTCTATTATTGTTTCCATATCGTCTTGGGCCTAAGAGCTTTAACTACATTTCATGGCATATTAGCCATTGGCGAATTTGATTTCTGCTCGTCGACATGTGTCTCTTTTTATGCTAGTTAAGGTTTGGTACGCATGCTAGGGTCTGGATGAATTAGAGATCCGTCGCTCAAATGTCGAAGCGAGGGAGATTTTTAACGTTCTGTTATAGGGAAGTGAGAGATAGTACAAACGCTACTGGTGTCCTCTATCTCTTTGATATTCAAAAAATGTAGGTAACAGTTGTGTGGGTACAGAATTCACACTGTGCGAAATTTTCGATGTAGCACAAAACTCATCCTGTAGACTCAAAGTTTTTAGAAAGAATAAAATGAATAACTATAGAACTGTTTTCAAAGCGCGAAGTTAGTCGATATGTGTAAATCATTCAATGCAAATAAGAGTGAACATAAAGTAAGTGGTGTAAATGCTGTACGTTGCTAATAAAAGCGAAGATAATAATAAATTCAACAACTTTTTACGATATTGTTAAAAATTGCACATTGTTAAATGTTTCGCTCCATTTTCGGGATGATATATAGATGGACGGTTGCTGTAAGTGGAGCGGAGAGAAAAATTAGAACTAATTGTTCTATTGGGTTTGCTCGTCTCTATCACTACGCATTTGCAACTCTTGTAGCCCACTTCCTTCCATGCGGCATTTGACTCCGATGCCTCTATTGTTCGCAAAGTGAGCGTGCATAGTAAAAACATGTGGACTACGTTAGAATTGCACTATGCATATATTGAATTAGGAGATTTTTAACGATCACCTTTTAGTGGAAAGGGTGTATGAAAGTAGAGAAATGAATAGATGAATAACGCTTATAAACGAAAACAACCTTAAGATACTGAAAATATCACGAAGGTTTTTCGTAAACAGCGTCAAAAGGGATTTTGGACCAGAGAGTGTCGCTCGTCTGACGCAGCACTCGTACTACTCCGAAAATTACCACCACTTTTTGGAAATTATCTAACTTAAAATATTATCATCTTCTTTAATTAGACTATTAAACATAATATCAGGAAGTTAATAGTGGAGCAGTTACCGGCTTGCAACCAAACGGCTGCAGGCTCCCCTTCATGGGTGTTTTGTCTCCATATTTGATGAAAAGCTGCGTTCGCTTTGTTTAAATTTTTTTGTTATTTCTTCCTGCTCCTCTTTCTCTTGCTTGCATAGGTGAGCTGATAACTCCTGTATCTAGCCACATTTCTGCTTTAAATAATATGCAAGCTTTCAGCTACTTCAATAAACGACTCTTGAGTGCACTTATCAAATAATAAGATAGATTGGTAAATAGATATCTCAGCGTTGAAATACAATTAGCAGAATGTAAAAACGTGGTGAAATCAGAACTTTCGTCTCGATACATTCATGACAGCGTGCTTTTATATTATCCGCCATCTCGAAACAAAGGCGCTATTAAATTTGTGGCATTAAGATATTGTACTAGTCCTTATTCAAGTTGCTTGACACGTTAGTTTCAAATAACATCCATTTCGCGATCGATCAGTAGCGCCTTAGGGTGGAATATATTAAGATCACATAAAGATCAGCTTTCCTGGTCGGAGAGTTACCTGACCAGGAGCCAATTTCTGTACCAACGATGCACGAGGTTGCGCGCTGATTGGGTAATTGCCTAAACAGGAACATAGGGTGTGATAGCAATGCATGCTGAGGCATACCGAATGCCTCACTGTCTTATTTGCACGCTCAATATGCGACATGTAATTAGTTTTCTAGCGGGTAAAACGGTCTTGTAAAGGAGGTTCCTATCTACGGATGTTAAATTTCAAAGTTTCCAAATTCCCAATTGTCTTTTAACTTCTAGAAATTCTTGGGATTTTCCTGTAATTGTACA